ATATGTAAAGTGACCTAAAGCATTTCCCTGTGATTCATGGTTTCTGGCTGCAGTTTTGCATTATTAATTATCTTAACAAGCTCTTTCTTTATTATCTGGAAGAAAACCTCAGATTGGCTCCTGTCATTTTATGCCAATTTGCGTTTCCTGGAGTTTGCCCTTGTGGCTTTTCAGTGGTTTTCTGCTGCTGCTGCTGCTGCAGCTGTCACAGAGAAAGAAAGTTTTTCAGAAGGCACAGAAAACTGGGAGATGATATGTAGTTTTTCCATTGGACTGAACTTGTTTGGAAGAATAAAGAGGTAGAACAATGAAATAATCCAAATATTATGAGGAGAGAGGGAGAAGCTTATATTACTGCGGTTTGTGTGATAAAAGAAATGTTACGCCTGGTACATTCTGTTTATAAATGGTGCTGTAAAACAGATATGTGTTCAAATGCTTAGCTAAAAATACTTGCAGGACTGCCTGTCCAGCACCGCATTTTACAGAATGCTGTAGTCGTCAGAATCTGATTGCTTCACCATCAATACATAGGATCATAAGTCAGTATTGTAGGAAAAATGGGTTTTCTCTTAAGTGCGGTTTTAATTTACTCTTTGCAGCTTAGAGAAACTAATTTTAGATAATTGTGATAACCCCAGTAAGAGAATGTAATACGTTTCCAGCATACTTAGGAAGAAGACATTTTACTCAGTATATGGTTCTGTTCAGATTTTATTTTCTGGGACTCTTGTTTTTAAAGTTCTCTATCTGTCTGTTTCTGTTTTAAAAGTTACAAACAGCAAATACTCACACAGAGACCCACATACACATATCCATATACACATCTTGTGTTGGTAGGGAGGTCCCTGTTCCCTTGTTTGGGAGGTAGGGTGATACAGTGGTTGTTACAGGAAGGCTCCTTGGAAGAAGCAGTAGGTTGCTGAGAACAGGTCATGTTTATGTACTCCTCCTTAAACAGTAATTCATCTTCCTAGCCTGGGAAGTGGGTGTTTCTCCCTAGCCGATTTGTTAGTTCTTAGGCACTATTCGGAGCCCAGGTGGTGAGATCTATAAAAAATGATGGAAGAAGCAGGATTTCCATGGGGCCAGCTGCCTTTCGGAGAAAGAGTCAGACACTTCAGTCACATCCTATGAATAAACAATACCAATGTAAAGTGGATTATGAGGTGTTTTGTCTAAAGTTTCTCTTTTTTTGACCTGCAATTGCAAAATCTTACGAAATATCTTTTGAAATGGAATAATGACTGTAAATAGTCTTCTTTTTTCTGTGGTTGGTGAAATTCTAGATTGAATATATTTTTCTTGTTAATGATAAGCCTAGTAGTAGTTTTCTGTTACACTAAATTTATTTGGAATAACAATGAAATAATTTAAATATTATGAGAAGTTTGAAGTTCTGCATCTATCTCTATTTAAAAAGAAATAACACACACATACACCCTGCAGCACTCTGGAAAAGCAGGTGTTAGGATGTGACTAGTATAAAAAAGTTCATAGTATTTTATGAACTTATCATTTTAAGAAATATAAAACATTCCTATGTCCTTTTGTGATTCAGTCATTCTCTAATAATTCTTTTTAAATTATTCTTCTTGTAAGAAGTTTTAAACCAGGCTTGGTGCTACATGCCTGTAATCCTATCGTTTGGGAGGCTGAGGCAGAACTGTAAGTTTAAGGACAGCCTGGGCTACACAGGGAGACCCTTCCTTGAAAGCCCCCCCAAAGACATTTTAGTTAGAATATATGACTGATAGATTCACAATTTTAGACTTCCTTTATGTAGGTTTCAGTTTTTAAAAGGACAAGTCTTGAGTGGGTCAAACTTTCATAAAGTTTCTAAGATAGAGCATCATAAATTTTCTGTGAGATTGATAGCTACTGTTTGGTTTGTGTTTACTGATGTTCTCAAATGTACAACTTGTCTTCACTTGTTCTATTGAAGAAACGTTTTTAATTTCCAGGCTTAGAAATAGCAAGTGACAAAGTATATCATAGATTGATAAAAGCAAAATTGATTTGATACAGTCATCTAGTTGAGAGGCATAAACTCTTTTGAAGAGGTTTCTTTAAAAGATAATATTAAACAGAAAGCCCTTACTTTGTCAGTTGTCATTAGTCAGAGTTTCACACCATATATTGTAGTTCATGTTTTAGTGTAATGACAGGATGGAAGTTAGAATTGAGTTCTGTGCTAATTGCTATATCTTAGATGATCGTCTGATACCATCTAGCATGTCACATACTAGTGTGTCACGTATGGAAGTCACTTCTCCTTTCCCCTACTTCTTATTCCTTGCATAGTCATAGCAGACAGTGCTTATCAAATGTGACATTTCTTCCGGCCCAGCCCAAACATGCCCTCAGTTCTCAAAGCAACATTCTGAGCTGCAAGCTAGTAGGTAGGAGATCCACGGATCTAACTAGTCTATCTGTGGAGGTAGTAGAATCTTTAAAATTAAAAAATATTTTTACGATCAACTCACATTATTTAAATCAAGTGGAATATTGTTTCTTTCACTCTAGCAGTGGCTCCTAGTCTTTTAGAGTATAACGATTCCTTTTTAATTAAACCCCACAGATTCCCACTTGACCATTGAAATCAGCAATAATTTTGGCTTTATTAATCACATCATGTACATTTATTCGGAAAGATAAGCACACAGATGTGAGAGGTTTACATACTTATGAGGGAAGGACCCCTTCTGATGTTTCTGGCCCTCTCTTCAACCACCTCCCAGGAGCAGGATTACTCCTGTAATCAGACTGTGACCATTACTCTGTCACACAGTCTGTTTTCCTTGCTTTCAGTTAAAATTCAAAGGCTACTAAAAGCAGAATTGAGTTTTATCTTCAGGGAACTTGGGAGTGTTTTCACACTGTGTGCTGTGAAGTCACAGGAGGCCAGAAGTTGCTTCAAGCCCCAGTCTTAGGCTGCCTGTTTAGAATTCATCGTAAGATTTCACTTGTGTTTGGGATTTCAAATAAACGAACAAGCAAGATGCTCCCCCAGATAAATCCCAGATAGGAAAAAAACTACTAGTTAACCCTCATTGTTGTGTTACACATGACTGAAGCGCCCGGCTCAGAGGGTTTTGGGTTACTCCATGTGTTAATGCTGAAACTGGGATGGGGACTCTTGCCGACCAGCAGGCCGTTGTTTGTCCCTCCACGTGCTTCTGTTCCTGAGGCCAGAGGAGGACATAAATTGACACTGTCTCCAGCTGTGAGTGCAGCACATATTTGTGTGGAATGAAAAATTGTTTTGCAGTGTAATACTAGGGGACTCGAGTTTGTTTCCACACTTGCATTGTAAGTGCTTGTTTTATTTGAGTGTAGTCTTCTTTCACTATTGAGGCAGGTAGAATAATGGAAAAGCTTTTTATTATTATTACTTTACGTTTTATTTTCTTTTAAAACAGTAAAGAGTTCATGTCATGGTCAGATGACAAGTTTCTCTTTCTCACCCAATGCTCTGTGTGCCTTCCCTGTTGTGTTTGTGCACGGTGTGCCTTGCCTTGGTTTTTAAGCATTGTCCAAACAAAATCTCTCCTGGATTTTGCTGTTCATCCAAGGATAGCCTCGTGGCTCATTTTCTCAGCAGAAGTGACTTGTTGTTGCTATTATTAAATCAACATGCCATCAAGATGTCAGCCAACTATAATACTTGATGTTCTTTGGGCTACCTTTTTCACCTGGGATAATAACACAAAACCAGTGTCCTTGTGAGGTTCACTGTAATTCTTAGGATTTTTTTCTTGGAAGCCTCAGGCTATAGATTATACAGGATAACAGCAGTGGAGGGTCTGGCGACAGTTTGCTATCAAAGCTCTCTTCCTGGTAGGGGGAAGCTCTTTCTCTCTCCTTGTCCATTGATTTAGCTTGTTCAGATTGGTGTGTTGTGGTAAATGTTCTGCTTTTAGAGTCTGTCAGGCTGGCAGGGCCAGGCAATGCTGGTTGCTATCATAGACCCCTGACAGGCTTCTTTTTTCCTAAGGAAGGTCCTCTCTCTTACAGAGATGCTTTTGTGTTAACTGTGGCAAAGCATAAAGTTCACTTTAGGCTATAGTTTCAACTTCTTTCTTGCTATATAGTTTAATAGATCTGCCCAGTTCTATCCTGGACAACCACTAATCTGCCTTCTGTCTGTGTGGATTGGCCAGTTCTGGATGTTGAAAGGGAATGGAGTCATGTAATACCTGGTCTTTAGTGACTGGCTTTTTCATTTAGTATAATGTTTTCAAAGATCCAGCCATGGCATGGTATGTGTCAGTACTCCATTCTTTTTTATTGCCAAATAGTACTCCATTTAGTGAATATTTTGCACTTTGTTTATTCATAGACATTTGGGTTGTTTCCCCTCTGGCTCTTATGAATTATGCTGCTATCAACATTTATATATGTGTTTGTGAACATATGTTTTCAGTTCTCCTGGGTAAATACCTAAGTATGAAAAAGAGCTGGATTGTATGGAAACACTATGTTTAACATTTTGAGGAACTGCCAAATTGCTTTCTAAAGTTTGCTGAACCGTTTTATATTCCCCACCAGCAATGAATGAAGCTTCCAATTTCTGTACATCTCAGGTGTTTCTTAACCACTGTATTTTTTGTGTTTATAAAAATGTTTCCTCTTTTCTTGGTGGATAGGGGAGCAGGGTGCTGAATGATAATTGTGGAGGAAATGAAACAAATGAAAGTCAAATAAATTATTTTCCGATTGGCTCAGTTCCAGCTCTGGAAGCCATTCATCCCTGCGCCTACAAACCTTCCTGTTTGACTGGATATGACATTACAGGAATTTTATTTTCCTGCTTTTTCCTCCCTGGAGAGAAAAAAGAAATATGTCTTTTCCTCAGCTAGACATGGAGGGTTCAAACAAACACAAAGGACCCCAGAGTTATTAACAATTCCACAGAAACATAGACTTGGTTTATGCCCAGAATCGTTTTTCTAAAATCACTCTCTTGGTGCTTCCTTCCTTTGCCTGTTCTCCACCAGAGCGTAACCTAAGAGCTGAATCAAGATCTGTTCATTTGGTGTTTGGAAAAGAGACGGTGGCTGGATGCTGGTCAGCTGGCTTGAGCTGTTGGCGGGCAGCTTCAGAGAGGGCCTTTGCTGGAGCAGCCTCTACAGGCCTGTGTTGGTTGGGGGGCTTGAATTTGCCTGGAGCTCAGGATAACAAGGTCCTTCGTCATCCACCACAGTAGTAAGCCGGTGAGTCCAGAGGTCCTAGAAATATCTGGTTACACCAGCCGGAGGCAACAATCCCTGCTCCTTTGCCCTGTGTAGTGGATGTAGGGAGCAGGCTAGGGTGGGGTTGGAGTAGGCCTGAGGGAGGTCAACAGGAAATACTGTTTCTCCTTCATTTCCTTTTTGCAGTTGTGGTGGTGGGAGAACCCAGGGCCTCCTGCATACTAGGTAAGTACTCTACCTGTGAGCATCCGCAGCCCTTTTTTATTGTTTTATGTTGAGAGAGGGTCTTGATAAGTTCCCCAGGCTGGGGTGGAACCTGTAATCCTCCTGCCTTGGCCTCCTGAGTAGCTGGGATTACTGGTGTGTGCTGTCATGCACAGATGAAATGTTCTTTCTCATACATAGATGTGTAATTCCTACTGTTTTCTGACCAGTTGATTACTTTTGGTCGTATACTGGCAGTAGGCCACGCCCCACCTTCCCCCAGACAAACATTATGAATGATGAGTTATTGGCAGGTGGATTCCCTTCAAGTTCCTTTTTGTGCATCCTCCCACACCCACAGTGAGCCTGCTGCTCTCCTTGTGAGTGAGGTTTGCCACACAGGCGTGACCTGTATGGTGAGTGTTGCCCCCACGCCCTGGCTGACTGTGTCCTCAGTCACTGCCCCATCATACCTCCACTGACTTCCCAGGCTCCTTGTCGAAATGCCAGCTCAGTCAGGACAGGACCACACGTCCCTGTGTCCTTCCAGTAGAAGCAGGCACATTCTTTCAGTGTTCTGTGTTTTCTCTTGGTTCCATTAAAATGAGGTTCATTGTGTATGTGATAGTTTCGGACAACCTTGTGTTAATTATACCTATGTGAACTGCCTTCCCCTTTTGTTAAGACTATTATTTTACAGAGTGCCAAAAAAAAGATTTTAATGCCTTAATTTCGGGGGTCAGTTTCACAGCACCATGAAGTATCAGAAAACTACTAGAGTACCGGCTGATGTGTTTCCAGTTGTTAACTCATTGTGTGATTTCTGTGGTAATTAATGAATTTGATTTAATGACTTCAATTGGAACTATAAGGAATTGGTTTTTTTTTGATTTGTGTTGCCCAATCATACCCCAGATCTGACTGAACCTTGACAATACCTTCTTCAGCTCCTAAACAGGAGTTGGTAATCTTTGGACATTTTCAACTTTGATAGACTTCAAATTATTACCACTGTGGTTTGCAAAAAGAGTTCGTAGAAATCTGAGATTTGAACAGTGAACCGTCCAGTATGGCAACCACCAACTGTACATGGTTATTTAAATTGTGATTAATTAAAATTAAATTAAAAACCTGGTTCCTCAGTCACAGCAACCATCTTTCAGATGCTCATAGCCACCTGTGGGCTAGTGGCTACTTATGAGGCAGGGTAGAGACAAAGCACTTCCATCACTAAGAAGTTTCTATTGGACAATACTGACTTAGACTTTTTCTTTTCTGCCCAGAAGTACAAGCAAGACATTAATCATGGTACACTTTGCGTACGCAGGTTCAGGACCTGGAAAATTGCTGCTACCTTTTCCTAGCCCAAATGAGAACAGGCAGTGGAGGTGCCATTTTGTTCTTGATTTTCCTCTTTTCCTGCCCTGGTGTTATTTGTTTGTTGCTATTTTGTAGAACTACAGATAAAACCCAGGGCCTTGTGTGTACTAGTTAAACACTACCACTCAGCTATACCCCCAGTCCTTTTAAAAAAAAAAAAAAATTGAGATAGGGTCTTCCTAAGTTGCCAAGGCTGGCCTCAAACTGGGGATCCTCATGCCTCAGCCTCCTAAGTAACTGGGATTATAGGCAGAACACATGGCTTTTTTTCTTCTTAAGAGGTATAAATAACAAGTAATAAGACTTGCTTATATAGTTAAGCACAGGATAAATCTTCTGAAAGAGTATAAGGATGGTTCTCATTTCATCATTTATTAAATTATGATTTTTGACTTTATGGGTCTATTGAGATTTTTAAATGCATTTTTGACGTAGGATATTTTCAATTTAAGATGAGCTTGTTGGAATACAACCCTGTGATAAGTTGGAGAGTATAAACATAAGTTATTATCTACCATTCTTTTCTATTAGATCTGATTCTTCTAATTCTATGCCCAAGGCTGAGATGAAAATTATGTTAAGATTTTATCACTGTTGGCCTGTTTTCTAATGGCACATATATGTGTGGGTTTATATTTTATAGACTTGATCCTGTTGGGAAGTTTAGCTTCACTTTGGTTTTAATATGTTTGTTGGTTTCTAGTTCTTTGGAGATATTTTTAAGTCTGGAAATTTGTTATCTTTACCTACCTTGGAAGTTTAGCTTCACTTTGGTTTTAATATGTTTGTTGGTTTCTAGTTCTTTGGAGATATTTTTAAATCTGGAAATTTGTTATCTTTACCTACCTTGAAATTTGCAAGTTAGGAATTTGTATCAGAAGAATTGGGCACAAATCGTTCTTCCCTCAACTCTACATATGACTGCTGAGTTATTTATGCTTCTTTTCTGGTTGTCTGATAGCTAAGAGGTGAAAATGTGTGCAAGTCACGTGATATAGATGCACCAGCTGCTAGTGCTCAAGGGCTTTAGTAGGGGACAGAGCAGTGACAGTGATGAGAAAGGCTCTGTGTACATGAGTGCTCTTCCCTTCATTTGTAGCAGTTTAAGTAATTCGCAGTGCTTGGGACTATGCCTCGTGTCTTTTCTCATGTTGGTGTGTCCTGGCGATGGTGTTTACAGTGAAACTGTAACTAAATTTCTCTCCAGACTCAGGCCTCCTTTACAGCCAAGTGGGTGCTGTTGAAAAGGAATTTAATACCTCCCATCCCCACCCCATTACCAGCTTATCTTCAAGAACCTGAACTTTTCTTTTCCTTCTTTCTTTTTCTTTCCTTTTTTTCCTCTTTCCCCTTCCTTTCTTTTCTTTTCTTTTCTTTTTTCTTTCTTTCTTTCTTTCTTTTTTTTTTTTTTTTTTTTTTTTTTTTTTTTTTTTGTTTTGTTTTGTTTTGTTTTGATAGTTTTCCTGGGGGGCTGGAAAACCTTAGCCCAGGGCAGTTAGCCAGGGGAACTCAGCCTTCAGGGAGAGCAGCTGGTGTGCATAGCAAGCAAATGCTCCATTCTCTTTACCTGCCGTTTTCTTGGTAACTGAGTAACTATACAGCAGACAGGCTCAGTGTGCCTTTTGTTTGCTTCTTATTTTTGTTAAACATTTTAAAGTTACCAGAAGTCAAAAATTCTCTATTGAAATAACTTTTGTGTAGGTCTGGACAGTGAGTGGGCTTACAACAAGATTTCCTCACTAATCATACTCCTCATTTCTTCCAATAGTACAATAAAACCTTGGTTTGCAGGAATAATTCATTCATCTTGTAATCCAAAACCACGTGTATAGCAAAGCTGAGAGAAAGACAGACAGAGACAGACTCTGGATTAGCATATTTTGGGGTGCTGGAATCTCCTTCCAGAGGAAGATTAGGGTTAAGGGTAGGATTTCTAGGATCCTTCTGTCCTGAACAAAGAATTGAATGAAACAAACATAAATGATGACAAAGTTTCACATTTTTTAAGGGTAGGAAAAAAATGGAAGGCTAGGGAAAAGACAGAGCCCTTACTTGGGCCAAGTAAATGTAGGAAAAAGGAGAAAAGAAGAAATAAAATTAAAGATGCACCCGTCAGTGTAGAGTGGACTACTGTGAAGAGACAGGGCTACTGTGAAGAGACAGCACTTAATGGTGACTGTCCCTTTTTTGTATTCCTCACACTGGTGCTGTGTTCAGGTCATCCTATCAGAAACCTACTGGCATTTCCCCGAGAGGTCTGTACCCAGGGCTGCAAGAATTGTTCAGCACATGTGTCCCTGGATCTTGTTGTATCTCCTTTCCCAGCCAGTTTTAGCCACTTCCTGTCTTTCTGCTTCAGAACCAGTTGGGATTGTGTGACATTCTGGGTGACATACTACTTGTAGTGCAAGACGTTGCTTGTTTATTGATTTAAAATGTCTCATAAATGTTTGCTCATTTTGTGGAACATTCATGGAGCAAGTTACTCATAATCCAAAGTTTGACTTGTGCTTACTTTGTTAGTCTGGGTTCTCCAGAGAAAGAGAACCAATAGGAACTGGTGGGCAGATATGTGGAGAGCTTTATTCCATTGAAGCTAGAGAGTCAGAACAGGGCCTGAGGACTAGGGAGTGGTAGAGATAGGGGAACCACTTACTGCCAGCCGCTCTGACTTGTAACTTACTTGTGCTTTTGGGTCTAGTCAGGCCAATAATGTCCACACTGATTCCATTTGATGATAGAGTGCTGCTGTGCACTCCATACTTTATAGCTTGGTGGGTCAGATATCACCCAGTTTACATAGGGAATGATTGGTTCATGGTCAAGTGCTTAGTTCTACATAAGCTGAGTAACAGGCCAAGAGCTGTCTTTCCAAAGGAGAGTTGCTGTCTGTGAATGGTGGCAGGGATTTGCTCCAAGTAACAGCCGCATGGATTCTGCCACAGGTTCCACACAGCATGCCTGCTGTGGCTGGCGCTTTATGCACGTTGGGGCTGAGCAGTTGCACAGCAGCCTGGGCCTAGGGCAGAGCCTTCTTGTGTTTTGGATTCCAATAAACTAGCAGCTTTACAAGGCACTTGGCTAATGGGCTGGAGCAATCCACCCAAATTGGGACAGTGTCCCCAGGCCTTCAAATAGACCCAGTAGGCACCAGAACTCTTTCTTTTTCTTTCCTTCTCCTTCTCCTTCTTCTCCTCCTTCTCCTTCTCCTTCTCCTTCTCCTTCTCCTTCTCCTCCTCCTCTTCCTCCTCCTCCTCCTCCTCCTTCTCCTTCTCCTTCTCCTCCTTCCCCTTCTCCTCCTCCTTCTCCTCCTCCTCCTTCTCCCTCTCCTTCTTCTCCTCCTCCTTCTCCTTCTTCTCCTTCTTGTCCTTTTTCTCCTTCTTGTCCTTCTTGTCCTTCTTCTCCTTCTCCTTCTCCTTCTCCTCCTTCTCCTTCTCCTTCCTTTTTTTTTTTTTTAACACCAGGTCGCCCTGTGTAGTTCAGAGTGCCCTTAGACTTACTATGTAGCCCAGGCTGACGTTGAACTTAAGGTGATCATCCTGCCTCAGCCTCCAGAATGCTGGGATTATAAATGTGTGCTACCATGCCCAACTGTAGCTTTTTCTTTTTTTTTTATTTGAAAGAGAATAAGAAATAACCCC